TGGAGTCCATTGAATTACGCCGACTGCTTCAGTGACTCCATCCAGCCACCTCCTTCTCTGTCGTCCCCTTCTTCTTCTTTTACCCTTCATCGTTCCCAGCATGAGGCTCTTCTCCAGGGAGTCCTTCTTCCTTCTCCTTAGGTGGCCAAAGTCTTTGAGTTTCCTCTTCAGGATCTGGTCTTCTAAAGAGCAGTCAGGGTGGATCTCCTCTAGGACTGACCAGTTGGATGGCCTTGTAATCCTTCTTCTTTTGCCCTCCATCCTTCCCAGCATGAGGCTCTTCTCCAGGGAGTCCTTCTTCCTTCTCCTTAGGTGGCCAAAGTCTTTGAGTTTCCTCTTCAGGATCTGGCCTTCTAAAGAGCAGTTAGGGTTGATCTCCTCTAGGACTGACCGGTTGGATGACCTTGCAGTCCAAGGGATTCTCAGGAGATAGGTAGGTAGGCAGGCAGATAGACAGATAGGTAGGTAGAAGTCCCCTTCTTCTTCTTCTGCCCTCCATCGTTCCCATCATGAGGCTCTTCTCCAGGGTGTCCTTCTTCCTTCTCCTTAGGTGGCCAAAGTCTTTGAGTTTCCTCTTCAGGATCTGGCCTTCTAAAGAGCAGCCAGGGTGGATCTCCTCTAGGACTGACCGGTTGGATGTCCTTGCAGTCCAAGGGACTCAATGCAGGAGTCTTCTTCTCCAGCACCAGAGTTCAAAGGCCTCCATTCTTTGGCCCTCAGCCTTCCTTAGGGTCCAACCTTCACAGCCATCCATTGCAACTGGGAAAATCACAGCCTTGACTAGAGGCACTTTTGTTGGCAGGGTGATGTCTCTGCTTCTCAAGCTTTGAGAAGACTATTATTTGGTGTCCCTCATCCTTCTCTTCTTTAGGCTAAACTCACACAACAACCTTTGAAGAGTTCCTGATAAGATTAGCCCCCCCGATTCTCCCAAGTCAACTGAAGAAAATGTGGTTTACGAAGATTAAAACGGGCTAAAGGACCTCTTGTTGGGAGAACAGTGATGGCCAGAGAGGACAATTCCAACCTAAGGGGATGAAGGAACTAAGAGAGGGATCTCCACATTTGGCAACTTTTAAGACTTGCAGATTTCAAATCCCAGAAATCCTCAGCCAGCCAGATTAATTCAGGCCAATTCTACTTCAATCACTTTTTTTTTTTGGCTCCATCCATTGGTTCACACTGCCTCCAATAATTCCTTTTAAAATAACTTTCCCCACTGCACTTGTTCCAAAAACAATGTGTACCAAGAAGATTCCCTTTTAGGAAAAAACAGACACAGGCACCTAAATAATAATAATAATAATAATTTTTTTAAAAATGCTCTGTTTCCTTCTTTTTAACACGGAGCGATATATCCCTTTCTGTGCTATGTCATTCTGTGAGAAACAGATATTTTCCACTCTTTATTTCTGGTTTCCTGAGGCTCTGCTTCCTGCCCTTCTTAGCACTTGCTCACAGAAGTTTCATCCTTTCCAAATAATTGTTTTTGCTTTAGTTTTTACTGACCCAGCGAATTTCTGATTTCACGGTCAAAGGTGGGATAGGAATTATGGATGTTACAAACCAGCATAGAAGTAGGGGGGGGATCGATGGGCTTAATCCTGAAGTGCAATTAAGAAACACCGGGGAACAATGATGTGGACTTCAAGTCCCAGAATTCCTGAGAGTTGAAGTCCACAAGTCATAAGGGGACCATGGTTCCCCCCCACCTCTGCAGTAGATAATAAAGATCTATCACCTGTTGACAATTTTTGAAATATGGGCTGCATATCTACAGGCAACCACTAGATGGCAGTAAAGAGACAGAGAAAACGTTCTCTCTTTGCTGCCCTCTTTGGTCATTTGAATTTTTGCAGCTCATCCTTTAGATGCTTGCTAAAAGATATTCTAAGGAAGAACATTTCCCCCCCGCCGCCCGTCCCTCCAGGAAAACACACATAAAATATATCTTGATGCACCACCGCTAAATCTCTCTATGAGCTCCAAATCACAGACTCCGATTCTGCAATTGATTCTGAAGTTTGGGACAAGTGTGGCACCCAAAATTGCTTTGGGTGAGACCGCGGCTAGGTAAATTTGATTGATTAGGAAATGCAATCAATAAATAAACGGAACGGATCTCATTGGCTGTTTTACAGAAAAGAGAGGGAGGGAGGGAGGGAGGGAGGAAGGAAGGAAAGAAAAAAAGAAAAAGGAAGAAAGAAAGAAAAAGGGAGGGGATAATGGAAGGAAGGAAAACAGGGAGGCTGGAAGGAAAGGAGANCCCTGCTTCCTTAGTTGTTCTCGTCTTCTGGCAGCTCTGCGCATGCACACACTGGGAACGGGCTCCACCTGTTCCTCTGCCTCGCTGCTGTCTAGCTCCCTCTCTGCCTCCGATGCAGAGCCCTCGTCCGAGCCTTCCTCAACCCCCAGGACTGTGCCCTGTTCCTCCCCAGCCTCCTCACTGACTCTGCGGCCACAACAACTATCTATAGTCAATTTTGTTTTCAAAGAAGATCCACTGAAGAAGAGTTTTTGGATAGAAAGAATTTAGGGGCTGCTGTTTGATCGTCTTCCCCAAAGTTGGCTCTGGCTAACTATATTATAATTACAATTAGCAAGTTGCTTATTCTGGAGGAAAAGCACAGGTAAGTCCTGGAGTTACCACCATTTGTTTAATGACCGTTTGAAGTTGCAACGGCACTGGAAAAAAAAAGATTCATGACCATTTCTCACACTTACGACCGTTGCAGCCTTCCCATGGTCCTGTGATTTACAACTGTATGCTTGACTACTGACTCACATTTATGACGGCTGCATTGTTCCGTGTGTGTGTGTGTGTGTGTGTGTGTGTGAGTGAGATGTGATCCCCTTTTGTGACCTTCTGGCAAGCAAAGTCAGATTCACTTAACAACCGTTTGACTAACTGAAGAACTGCAGTCATTCACTTAACGACTGTGGCAACCAAGAATAGAAGAGAATTCTTGATTGGCCAAATGTGATTGGACACGCAAGGAATTTACAAAGGCCGTAAAACGAGGCAAAATGCACTTAAGCAATGTCTCACGTAGCAACGTACCTTTAAGGTTCGGTTTGGGGTTGCAGCTCGAGGATTATTTGTTAATGGAACTTCTGTTAGTATTGTATTGAAGGATGGGTGTTCAATTTCCCAGGCACTCTAGCGATCCTCCCTGCTTGAGGATGACCTACCTTAGAAATTAGTTCATCGTGGTTGGCCAGGTGAGCCCTGCAATGGATGCAGCTGTACGTGCGATGGCACGAAGGCAGGTAGGCTTGGAATGTCTTGGACCGCGTCATCTTCACCATTGGCGCCACCGAATGCTGCGCGAACTCGGAGGTGGCCCAGGAGGTCCTCCGACACGACGGGTCGCAAGGGAAACACTGGAGCACGCAGGTGAAGGCCGTGATTCGGCAGGGGGCGGGTGTGGCGCAGGCTCCACACACGGGCGATGACTTCGGGAGAACAAAAGCGCGCACGGGAGCCAACCGACCCACGTTAACCTGCGCGGGCAAAAGGATAAAAACAAGAATGGGTTTTCCAAACAACGGTCAGCGCGCGCATTAACTTTCAGTGTTCCAGCTCTGAGTAAGGTATCTCAGGTTGTTGCCATGTCAGCCTTGACAGGTAGACGCAGGTAAGAGCCCCGGGGGTGAAGTGCTTAGAATACAATATTATAGACCAGTGACGGCAAATCTATGGCACGCGTGCCCAAAGTGTCATGNTGGCGCCGACCGGTGACGGAGCCGCAGCAGAGGGAGGAAAGAGCCACATGCGGCTCCAGAGCCGCAGTTTGCTGACCCCCTGTGATGTAACTTCAAACCGTCACTAAATGAACTATTGTAAGCCGAGGACTACCCGTACAGTTGAGATCAGCCAAAATCTTTGTAAAGTCCAGTTACTCAAGCCTCACAAATGCTTGAAAGAAATAAACTAAACGTTCCAGTTTTTTTACAAAATTTCATCACCCGAGCTCTGCCAGGATATAAGCGCCACAATTTCACTCCACAATCACACCTTGGAGGCCTACAATGTTCTTCCACATGGAACCCTTGAAGCCCAATTTGCTCTTTTGCTTTCACCCAGAATCAAGTTTGGCCAGAAAATGAAGCCACAATATGGATCTTCTTAGTAATCAAAACCAGGGCTGTAGAAGCAAAATCAAAATTTAAGTCATTTAAAAAAAAATCATCCTTGCACCTGCCAGAAACAAGGACACACAATGAACCCACAACTTTTTTTCAAAAAAAGTATGAAAGTTTGCAAACATTTTACTTCCCGGAACAAATCTAAGGAAAGTAGATTAAAAAGCATCAAGCAATCCATTTACCTTCTTGAAATAGAAACTATTGATGAAACTATTTGTATTCCCCCGACAACACAATTTGTTAACACACACATACAAAACCTGCACAACTCTTCTATGCCACACAGGTAGTCCTCAACGTACGGCCAAAATTGAGCCCAACATTACTGTGGCTAAGCGAGACAGCCGTTAAGTCATTTCTTCGCACCAATGTACGACCTTTCTCCCCTGCCGTTGTTAAGTGAATCACTGCAGTTGTTAAGATAGCAACATGGTTGTTAAGTGAATCTGGCTTCCCCTTTGACTTGACAGAAGGTCCCAAAAGGGAATCACAATGACTCTGAGACCCTGAAACCGTCATTAATACAAGTCAGTTGCCAAGCATCTGAATTTCGATCACATAATCGTGGAGATGCTGCAGGCGTAAGTATGAAAATGGCTATTTTTTTTCAGTGCCATTGTAACTTTGAATGGTCACTAAATGAATTGCCGCAGGTTGAAGACCATTGTTCTCACCCAGGCTTCCTTAAAAAGCAAGAAGCAGAGTCTTAGCCCCCGCAAAACCTCTTTAATTTACACGACTTGTGAATTCCTTTCATTCACAGTCCGCAAGGCTTAGCAAACAGTCTTTCCGAGGAATGTTTATCCACACGCACCTTATCTCGCTTGGAGAGCTGCCAGATAAGTAGTTTCCTAACGCGGGGCAAGGCAAAACTTGGCACAGAGTTTCTTATAGCCACAAACAGAACTTTCCACTCTTGAAACGACCGAAGGGATGAATTGTTTCCTGCAAAAGCCCCCTCCCCATTCCCTCCTCTTCTGTTTCCTGTGGGAGGGGCCAATCACCTCCAAGGTGTGGCTTTACTCCCACGTAGACTCTGCTTTCTTAGATGTTCTTGTCTTCTGGCAGCTCGGCGCATGCGCACACTGGGAACGGGCTCCAGTTGTTCCTCCGCCTCACTGCCATCTAGCTCCCTCTCTGCCTCCGATGCAGAGCCCTCGTCCGAGCCTTCCTCAATCCCCAGCAATAGCAATAGTTAGACTTATATACCGCTTCATAGGGCTTTCAGCCCTCTCTAA